ATGGGTGAGAGCATGTTTCTTGTGTTTTTACTGACCACGGCAGAGAACCTTCAGTGTTTGGTACGGACGGTCTGCCGGGACATGGGCTGCTGCGGGTCGAAAACGCGGCAGACCGTAAAGGCTGGTGATGTCTTTGCAGCATCACCGTATGATATCTTGCATCAAGCCACTCAGTGAGCGCAGGTGCAGGCCATCCAGATCCTAAAGCAAGCTTATCACAAGCTTTGTTCATGAACCAATTGCAGTGCATTGAAATGCACCACTTTTGCCCACCTGTTCCGAGTTCGCTGCGGCCTCGAATGCCTCTGCCCCGCGCTGAGGCAGTACCCCTCCTGCTCCTTGGAGGTCCGACGTTCTCGTTCACCGCGGAGCCACGGCGGAGCCGCTCCTTGCACTCGCGACCAACCAGGGCGTGGATTTGTGGATGATGTTGCCCTCATAGTTAGGGTCTGTCCTATTCCCTGTAACAGTCAGTATACAATTATCATAGCTTGTTTTAGAAAATAAAGTTATATACTAACCATCATCCACTGTTGCAGGTATTAGGATAGACCCAACTCATAGTAATATGTACATGGTTGATTTATACCCCCACCATGTGGAAAAAAGAAAGGCATTCTGGTAAGTGAAGGTTTGATTAATCAACTGCATTCAATATTGTGCAAATCATGTGGGTGACAGAATTAGTGTTCTCAATGTTGCCCGCAACAATGTTCAAAGAACGCTTTGATGAAAAGGCCGGGAGTTACGTAAAGATGCACCATGCTCGGACACACGCACACACACACACACATGATGAGCGCACGCGAATAGGAAAGACGGGGGTTTGACTATTGGAGGTTGCTGGACACAACTCACAGAACTGCACTTTTCGACAGCAATCACCACACCACCCACATCATCAACTGCCGCAATACACATCACCACATCAGACATCAATGTGCGACCCTTCGTCACCTAACATCTCAGCTTTTCGTCATAGAAGGTCATATTCCTGACTAAATACTCTATAGATCTCTATACTCTATAGACTCTATATACGGAAATGTCTGCCCAACGCCAGCTGTGCGGATCTACCTGGTGTGGAGGCCGTGCATCATTCCACACCTCTCACGAGATGCCATGGTACCTTACTGTACCATCAGTGGCAGTGCTAATTCCGCTTTTGGTTTCAAGTTTCAACCCAGGTCTTTTATGGTTTGGAGTGGCACCTACTTACAGGAGTCTCATTTTTGGATCAACCTCATGGCAGCGGAAGGCGCAGTTCGAACATGTGTTCCAGTGTTCCTTTTGGTTTCGACATGGCGCTATTTAAGGCAAGGCTTGCACGCTCTCTTCAGAAGTCAATTGCACTCCCGAAGACTCACATGGACCCGGGTCGAATGGGACCTGAAAGATGGTTTTTCCTCTACAAACCAGTGGTTTTCAGGGTCCATGTGAGTTTTCCAGGTACCTTGTGTCACTGCCCATGTGATCCCGATTCGATGAACAACGGCAGCTGGTGGTCTTTCCGGTCCCAGACCTTGGACGATCCATGTACCAGCGCTTCCAGGTTCCAGTGCATTCCTGGTGAAACCTCCTCAGCTCCGGGGCACGCCCCATCTTCCAAGGCCCTGCGCCATGCGGGATTTGGAGTGGTTTTCCACCGGGTGGATGGTGATGGACATGGGTTATTTTTCGTTTCAGGAGGGTCAAGAGCCACGCGCAACTTAGATCACGATCGATATCGACTTGAAAGGTGTTAATTCACCAACGTCATGTACATCGTCTCCATGGACTATGGATTTGATGTTTTAGGGGCCCCGACCCCCCACTTGGAGCCCGACTTGAAGCACTGCAGATCTTTGCCTTTTCTTACGGCACAAGCATTTACTGTGCCCATTTAGGTCACCTGCAAGCACCTAGGACATTCTATCATATTCTATAACCTCGCTGTATGTCATTGATCCTCCTTCAACTCCCGTAGTTTTCTGCTGGAAAGGCATTTTGGTGCAACTCCCTGACACGACTGGAGCAGTTCTGAAATATTGCCAGAAGACCACCCGAGACCACCCCGACAAATAGATTGCCCCGTTCGTTTAAATTGGTTCCTGTTGTTGTTTTGATTCGTTGTTTGATGTTGTTTGTATTAATTCCCTGGCATGCCATTGCTGCCATTGTTGCTGTGGTTGTCGTTGTTCCTGCCTGATATCGCCGTTTCGTCCAGTCGTGTGAAGTCTTGGATGGCCAGGAACTGTGAGATTGTTGTGTACAGTGTGGAATTTGTTAAAACAAGAAGCTATTGAACACCATTTGGAAAAATAATCCAAAACACTTTTGAATTCCGCTGAATATTGTTTCAAGATGTGCTGGAAGGTGGAGGAGTAAGTCAAGTTTACAATTGTATTGACAGTATATATATAGTTTATGATTGACACAATTTAGTTTATGATATTATATCATTAATTATTGCATTATGTTTGGAACAATTGGTTTATACATGGTTCGCTCTCTATTATCAACCAACTGAAAATACTTTTCTTTGTTGACAGTAGTTATAATTATTGCATGGTTTCGGAGGCTCGGATAATTTTTATTTTATCATTGACGCGTGGCTTTCTATGGCGATGTGAACATTATAGAATTGTTATATCTATGTACAAAACTTATAACTCAACTGTTTGTTTGGATTGTGTGGGGCCGCCGTTTCCATATTTCTGTAACAGACACGTCATACAAATACCATCATATCCCAGACAATCCACCAAATGCCAGTATCCACTGGAAGGTGACGCAGCAATCTCCAAGCTTTGAAGTGTATTCATCTTGGTTGATGCCCAGGGCCAGGGCCATACCCCGCCTTGTGAGCGTCGAAGGCTGGGACCTGAGAGCGTTTTTTTGGACGGGTGAAACAGCCGGTGACCGATGGGTCAGCGGGCTGGACCGTGGTTCAGATCATAAATGCACCTGCAAGTGAAACAGTGAAATGTTTTGTGACGACGGAGGTTTTGGATGGATAGCTCCCCTTCAAGAATGAAGACCTCTAACAGAAACCTTCCGAGCCTCTAACAGAAACCTTCACATACTGGACCAGGAATCTGACTTGGCATCTCGTGCTTGGCTCATTTAGACGACCAGCCCCTGTTGACAGAGCCGCACTCTAAGACCTGGCCGTTGCATTGCCCGCTGCATTGGCCACCGATAAAGTGGCGAGGACATGGCTGCCGGGTGGGGGATGTGATGTGATCAAGTCTAAGTTGGGAGCCACGTGAAATTGAGCTCATTAGCCATAGCGAGAGAGAGAGAGAGAGATCATCAAATTGCTGATTCTACTTGAAGTGGGTTTTGGGAGAGGTCATTGGTTGGGAGTTTTGCAATCCTTAGCTGTGAAGACTCTTCTCACCTCCTCAGTGTCCACTGAAGTGAACCTAGTTGGCAGATGCACGATTCATCCACCCAAGATCAACTCCTGTCCAAGATCCCTCAGGACCATTCCAAGCTTCAACTGGCTCAAGGCTTGGGCGAACGGTTCTCATTTGGATGGAGTTTTCTGACCAGAGAGAATCACATGCGACAGGGAAAGGTCAAATGGATCAGGTCCCTAAGAAGACATTCAATGGATCACCCTCCTGGAGTCAGGTCGAAGACCTGACTCCGGGAGGTGGCTTAAAAAACGTTCAGCCAAGCCAAGGAGCCCCGAAGGTCTAGGGAATGCGTTGCCATTGAATGATGTTGGGAAACCACTAGTGTGTGCGTGTGTGTTAATAAAACTATAAAACTATAGTGATAATAGGGCGATCTCCCGGTTCGACCCCATGGAAGCTTCGGGGAAATAGACCAACTTTGTAAACAACAGAGGCTTTCTATGAAGAGTCCCTGGGGCACAACAACAGCAACAACAACAACAACCTGAAGTCAAGCCTCCAAGGCTAGAAGTAGAAGGCCTTGTGGAACCCAGACCAGAAGTACGGATTGGCCATCAGGTTGTTCAACATTTGTAGGCCAAGTCTGTAGGCAGTTTGCCAGTTCAAGTCTGGAAAAGAAGGTCTTGTGCCAAGAGTTGGCTCTCGAAAGCAGAGGGACTTGACGATGCTGGGGTACGGCTGGAAGATCTGAACCGGTGAATCGGCCCAGTGGCGGAGAAGAACGTGGCGGACCAGTTGGCCTTAGGAAATACATCCGTTGACCCTGCGCCAAGATATTGTGAGGTCGCAGCTCTCTTGGTGATTCAGCTCGGCTTTTTTCCGCGCGTGTGCTTCTCAGTCTGCGTGATTTCGCGATGTTCTCCTCGTCCATGTTCCATGAAGTGGCCACAGGAAACATCCAAACCAAATGAAATGGCCACACAAACCTTCCGGATGCTTCAGGCTTCCGGTTCTGCTTCCGGCTTATGCCACACGTCCAGCCCGCTGTGAAGAGTTCACACCGCTTGCTCATCCGACTCAATTGGGGCCTGCCCCAGGGAGTATAGTATACCCTTTGACTACCTGTTGGTAGAGAACCATGGAAGCTGAGCAGGCTCTCCTTGTAGAGGAAGTTCCACTTTCATGATTGTTTCAGGGGGTGTAGAGCACTCGATATGGCTCAGGTTGCCCCGCTTATTTGGATGTTTGCCCCAGTTTCTTGCAGCTGCATGAACTGCCCAAATTCAACCAGTATTGGAAGAGCAGAGAGCTCGTTTCTTTTTTCCCCCTTGCTGCACGCATTGTGGTCAAAGCCATGCGTCACAAAGACTACACTGTCCCTGGGAACACAGCCACTGAGGCAGCGAAGCTCACGTGACCACCTTGGTGAGAATGTGTGAGAAAGTGCAAGGTCTTTGGGCTGCTAGAAAGGTAGAGGGCCCATGTGTATATATTTTGTCAACATAGGAATTAGCAGCACCTAGGAATGTAGTGTAGCGAATGAGTAGGGATGCGATGTTATATCATAGTTAGTTAGCTAGTTAGTTTCTCGTTTGTCTCTAGTGTTTTGCTATCAAGCCTTGCCCACCCTCCCCTGGGGGGAGGGGGTGTAGGGACATGCCTGGAAAATGGCATGGGAGAAAGTCCCTCGAAGGTCCCACGAAGGGGACCTATATAGAGGGCGAGGTTTACGATGATGGAGGCGACCCACAAGGCACAGTGGTCTTGTGGGTGAAGCGCCTGTTCGCCCCGGGAGAGACCGGGAGGACTTTGCATGGGGACGTGGTGACTGCTACCGATCCATATTACAGATGGTGGCTTGCGAGTCCAGACGGGGCAGTCACCACGGTGGACGGAGCATATCATATATGCAAAGGTCCTCCCGCCGAATGTAAGGGCGGAACAGGAGAACATGTGGTCCACTTAGGCAAGTGGCGACAGTGGAAGGAAGAAGAGCTCGTTGACAACACCGGAGGGATCCTAGATGAGGATACGCATGGACATGTGCAGGCATATTTCAAAAGAGTCCCAAAGGAAGGGCCAGGCGCTGGAGGAGCTGGTGATTTGCCCTGGGATGACCCAGGTGATGATGAAGAGGATGGAGAGGAAGAGAAAGGGAAGAGCGCGCCAGGGCCGTCCGGGAAGGAAAAGGCTGCAATGAAGAGAACGACAGAGAGGAAAGGGTCGGAAGAAGAATTGGTGAAGAAAAAGAAAAGGCTGACAGAGTTGGCCAGAGACCTCAAAGCCCTGAAGGCGGAGGTGAAAGCAGCTGAAGTCACCGAGGAAGAGAAGAAAGGTGCAGGCAAGAAGGAGAAGAAGGGACGGAAAAGAACGAAGAGTGGAAAGGGAAGCCCTCCCTTTTCAGGTGAGATGCGAGGAAGCGCGCTTAGGTGAAGACTAGCCCGGAACCCGGTGGATCGTCTTCGGAGCCGGATTCCGATGAGGGCTCATCCTCTGACAAGAGTTCAGGGCGCAACCAAAAGCGAACTTCAAGAAGCAGGGGAAAGAAGAAGCAGAGGAGCAAAGGACGGAGTTCTCCTTCAGATCCCTCCAGGTCACGGAGCCGAAGGAGGCAAAGCCACAAGAAAAAGAAGAGAGGCAAAAAGAAGAACAAAAGGCCGAAAGACAGAGGGCCCTTTGGAGTGGCCGAATCAGATGAAGATCCCGACAGATCGGAAGCCGAGGATGATTCGGAATCGGATTTTCAAAAGGCCCCCGCGGGGATGACGCTGTTTCTGAAGTTGCAGCGTTACGCTCAGCGGCACCCCGGCCGGCTCGCGGCCCGTCTCCTCCATACCATGGGGGTAGCGGGGCGCGTCCCCGTGGGGGCCTTGCGACAAAAGGGGAAGAGCATTCTCAAAAACATCGAGGCAAACGCAGTGTCCTACTACAACGTGGCCTTGGTCCCGAACCTGAAGGCGAAATGGACTCCACGATCCGGGAGAGAATTGAAGTACCTCACAATTCTCCTGGACCTACTGGTCGAGAACAAGTCAGCGCAGGCTGCCGACATCATTGCCCAGAGGATCAAGGCTCTGGTGAAAAGCGTGCAAGACAACAACAGTTGGGTGAGGGCACGCTTCCTCGAGCTGGTGGAGCCAGACGACGTAGCCCTTCTGGACAGGGGGGAGGAGGCAATGATCCAGAAGGAATTGGAGCGGGAGGAAAAGCTCCGAGGACCATCCGAATGGAAAGGAAAAGGCCATTGGAAGGGCAAAGGGGAGCACGAATTCGGAGCCAAGGGCCAAGGCAAGGGGAAAGGAAAGAGCAAGGAGAAGGGAAAGGGGAAGACGCCGGCCGAGGACGCTGCCGAGAGGAAGTAGATGGTGGCGCCTTGGCAAACCGAATCCCAGCGGAACCCAGTGAACCCCCAGACCCCAGAGGGGAGCTTCAGCGGAAGCGAAAGTCCGAAAAGGATGTTGAGTCGCCCGAAGGTGAAGTGGCATCTTCGGAGGAATATGAAATTGAAGAGGAGGCCTTGAACAGGTTGTGGAAGAAGCATAGACAAAAGTTTGAAAGAAAAATGGCAGGGTTTCTTGCAGAGGAACGGGATGCATTGGAAGTGGCCTGGCATGTGCTGGAAAATGCTGGGCATCTCAGGACAAAGTTTGGCAGGTTTCGGACGACTTTGGGTCAAAAGGCCACAGCCCAAGATGCCCCTGAGGGCCCCGATCTCCTGCCTATCTCGTTAGATGCCCTAGAGCTACGCCGGGACATTCAGTCGGAAGTTCGGGCGTGGGTCATATTGATGGCTTGGGCATTGAACTTCTTGTACTGCACAGGCTGGGAGCAACCACGCCACATGGATCATCCCGGGAAGCTGACTACGGCGCAAACCAAGATGGTTGATCAGCACTTGGTGCCCGCGGTGAGGCGCATGTGCCCGAAGGGATTGAAGATCCCATCTTATCAGAAACTAAAGGAGCAGCTTCAGAAGAAAGGCTACGGTTATGATGGATCTAGTTGGGTGGTGATGGAAGACCTTGCAGCCGACAAAGTGATTCCATGTTGGCCAAACAAGGGGGAAGCTGCCGTTCAGCCCATCACCAAATTTTTACATGGTGACACAAAGGAGATGGTAAACAAACCACTGCTCACCATCCTTCCGGCGGAAGAATGGCCAGAGACGGTACCCCAGTCGTATGTGCGGGCCTCGGATGCCGAGTGGGAGAGGCTCGTGGCAGAGGGGTATCAGCTAGGTCTTTTTCAGCCTTGCCCGGAGGAAGAGATCTTGAGAAGCCCCTCCGGTGAAATGATCCTGAATGGGGCCGGAGCAGTCCCAAAAGAGAAGAATGGCAAGATCTTGCAAAGATTTATATCTATTTTATGTCCATTGAATGCGGTGAGCCGCAAAATTGAAGGAGATGAGTCGACCTTGCCCTATGTGGGCCAGGTGGGGCTTTGTGAATTGGAGGCCGAAGGAGCCATAGTTATAGACAGTGAAGATTTGCAGTCGGCCTTCAATTTGTTTGAGATGCCACGGGGATGGCGTGGCATGTTCGTGTACCGCAAGCAGGTGAGAGGAGGAGTCCTTGGCTTGCCTCACGATGAGATGACATGGGTGTCGCTGAGGACGGTGCCTATGGGATGGCTCTCCGCAGTGGGGATTGTTCAACAAGCCATCAGGACTCTCGCGTTTGAGGAAGCTGGACTCCCCAGACAGTTTGAAATTCAAAAGAACAAGGAGCTCCCTGAGGGAGAACGCTTCTTACTTTACTTGGACTCGGTGGATCAGTTGAGGCCGGTCAGCCAAGCAATGAGAAAGGTAGTGGAAGGACAGGCGAGCCCTGAGCACCAGCGTTTTGAAGAGGCATGCCGGCGGTGCGGATTGCCTACCAATATGAGCAAGCGTTTGGCGGGGGCCCTAAGAGGAACCCTACAGGGGGGACTCCTTGATGGAGAAGCAGGGGTGTTCATGCTGCACCCGGACAAAGGGGCCTTTACAATCGGAGCTTGCATGTGCCTGCTGGGATCCCGGACATGGGAAACTAGAGTGGTGGCAGGGCTCACAGGGCGATTGGTTTTCGCCGGTGCATTTCGAAGGCCAGCCATGTCACTGATGAGCGAGGTGTTCCATTACTTCGGCAGCAAGCCTACATCCAAAGTGGCAAAAGATGATGCCTACGATGAGGTCTTGCTGGCGATGGCCTTGCTGCCCTTGAGTTTCACAAACCTCAAGGCCTCAATCTGTGGAAGAATCTATGCCACTGACGCCAGTCCAATGGGGGCCGGGTCGTGCGTAGCCGAGCGCTTCAAGCGCCCGTTTGGGACCACAAGCCCAAATGACCTGGTGTGTGGGGTGTGCCGGACAGAGCTCACGGATGAGACAGCCCGTGGAGAAGACTTGGCCTGCCCCGCGATGTGCGGGTGCAAACTTTGCTCTTTGGAGTGCTGCTTGAGGCACGCGCCTTATTGCCCGCATCAAGCGGTAGGAGTTCCATTGTTTTCGGAGAGGTACAGTGGTCCAGAGGCCAGATTGTCGAGAACCATGTTTAAGGCTGGATTCAGAGTGGTTGACCCCATAGATTACAAGTGGGACAGCACTATGGATGTATTCACGGAGAGAGGAAAAGAATGGTGGGCCCATGCCGATGCATCAGACCCAACCCTTGAGCATCACGCTCCGGACAGCAAAACCTTTTCAAGGGCGCGGGGTAGGCCTTATCAGTTTGCCGGAAAATGGTATGAGGGGCCAGTGGCACTGAGGGATGAAAGCCACGTGATGGGGTTCACTTACCTAGCAGCGCATGAGGCAGCAGCGGTGAGGAAAGGAAACAAGATGGCAATGAGATCCATCGCGAGGTGCAGGACCCTCCACGAAGAAGGTCGCTTCTTCACCTTGGATCACCCCCGGCGCTCTTGGATGTGGTATACCAAGCCAGCCATAGACCTGGCAGGTCTTCCAGGAGTGAGGATGGCGATCTTCTCCCATTGCTGTTATGGGGGAAGGCGCAAAAAGTGGACGAGCTTACTGACCAACAGCGAGACCATCTACCAAGCCCTTCACAAGCCTGTTTGCCCCCACGGAGATGGGGAGGATTACCCGCCGTACTGGGATCAGCAGCTTGGCCAGGTGGTGTTCCCAATGGAGCAAGAAGCAACATACCCCTGGGGTTTGTGTGAGGAGTACGCCAAAGCAGCCGTCAACCTCATGAACCTGAGTGAGCACAGGGAAAAAGCCCTTGCCGAAGTACGCAAGGTGAAGATCAGAGAAGACCTCATGAAATATGACCGGCTGCAAAGTCCGGGCTTGCAGGAAAAGGTGGTCAGTGGCATCTTGCATATGGAGAGGACCATGCAAATTGGGTTCGAAAAAGCTCATCTACAGCAACTTCTTCGCCTGGGTCACTATCGTGGCACAGATGTCAGGTTGGCCGTCGAGGAACAGGGAGGACGGCAACTGTTTCCGTACCCAGCCTATAGATGGCTGTGGCGTGACGTGCTGTCATTCAGATGGCGACAGGAAGGGCATATCAATGAGTTGGAATTTCAGGCCTTTTTGGCCCACATTCGCCGAGTGCTGCGGGAGCCTGACATGCGCCACAAAAGGGTGTTTGTGGTCGTGGACAGTCAGGTACTCTACTATGCGCTCGGCAAAGGGCGCTCTCCATCCACTAGACTCAATCGAGTCCTGCGACGTTTGGCGGCTATATCCCTGGCAGGCGACCTGTATACTTTACCGATTTGGACTCTGTCAGCATGGAACTTTGCTGACAGACCTTCCAGACGGTGAGGTGATGCCTAAGGCCCCACAGACACTTCGCTATGCCGGGTTAGCCAAAAAGACAGTTGCAGCCTATCGTCGCGCCCTATCAGCTTTCTTTTCGTATCTTGAAGATGAAGAGATTGAAATGCCCTCAAAGTTTCACCACCTTGATCGCTTGATTGCCCAATATCTGGAGTCCCTATACTTGGACGATACCCCAATTTCTTACGCAGGGCATTTGTTGAGTGCCTTCCGCCGCTTTGTGCCCCAGTCGCGGTTCAAGATCCCTATTGCCAAACAATGGTTCTCAAACTGGACCTCTGAACACGTGCCCAGGCAGGCAATTCCCATGCCAGCCAATGTGGTATTAGCCCTTGCCGGGGCAGCGCTTGAGGTGCGGGAGCATGCGCTTGCCGCTTTGTTGCTTGTTGGGTACAAAGCCCTCCTGCGAACCAGTGAGATGACCTCGCTTAGGTTTGATCATGTCAGCTGGAAACCAGGGGAGCCCAATGTGGTTATCGCAATTCCGTTTTCGAAGACTTCGCCCAAGCGCCCCCAGAGTATCTTGATTCGTGACCCTTGGCTACCTTTTTTACTTAGCTTCGCCTGGGAGCGCTCTGAATCTGCTTTCATGTGGGATGGTTCGACCCCGGCCTTCCGTCAGGCCCTCCGTTTGCTTTTAGATACTCTAAACCTAGCCTCGGTTGGCTTTACTGCTTACAGCATCAGGCGTGGAGGAGCCTCTCACGCATTTGCCCAGGGAGTTTCTTTCGACTCTCTGGTTGAATTGGGGCGGTGGAACAGCGTCAAGACCGCCCGTTTATACTTGGATTCGGGCCGAGCAGCACTTATTCAAATGCACTTTCCACCTCACGTTAACATGCAGCTAGCTACTTTTGTGGCAAAGGCCACTGTTTTTTGCAAGCAACTTCGTCAGGGGCGCAGGCTCAAAATGGTCTTGTGAGTGCCCGCTAAATTGGGTGTGCCAGCAAGGGGAGGTTAGGTGGTTGGGCGATGCCCTTACCAGGCTCCA